CTTCTGTAAAGCAGCCAGAAGATCTCGTGCTTGCTTCCTCTGGCTTCAAGAAAGGAATGGGAAGAGTTTTCTTTTTCACTATAACACTAAGTGCATTGAAATATTCAATACATCTCAACTTCTGCTATACTAAAAGTAGTGGAATCATGAAATAGAGTTCTCTCCCTAATGATTTTACTGTAAAATCTTGTCTGGAGGAAAAATACACAAAGTAGGTAAAATGGTTTTACCTAAATTTGATTACTAAAGTACTAGTAAAATGGACATGTAAGGACAGCTGATAAAAACAATAAAATACCAAGTGACTAGTCAAACCAACACTGTATCTAGGAGAAAAACTTCATCAAAACAGCAAACTGAAGCCCAGAACTGAATTCTTACCAGTGATGCAAAACATCATTGATCAGGTAGATGAGGTGCAGGCGCAGCTCGAAGTGAGCTCCGTCCGCCGTTATCCGGTTCCGCAGGTGCCCGGCCATCAACTCACAGTGAGCAGGAGACTTGGCATTACTAAACATCCAGTTCTTGCCAGCCTGAGAAAAGCAAATTTTAAAATATTATAAGTCAGTCTAATGTGTTCCCACAATATAGGGAACACATATATTTCAGAACTTCCTATAGTTCTGAAATAACTGCAGGAAGGTTTTCAGGTAACAGCTTTCATCTAACCTGCCACACAATATAGACATAAAGCTCTTGTTAATGTACAGAGAATCTCAAAATTCAAATGGACCCACAGTGCCACCAAATCCCTGTGCAGATTCAGATCACTTACTGAGATTGCATCTTTTGTGCAAGTGTCAATTATTGGCTGCAACAAGTTGTCGAATTCGTTCATATCTAACTGGGTTTCCTCCAAAACTTTCTGCATTTGTTGCTCGATTGCAAGGGCTACTGCTGATGTGACTTGTTCCTGAATAAAAAAAGAACAAAAAAAAAAGAAGGAAAAAAAAAAAAGAGAAAGAATTACATTACAGCCAAAACTCTTTTAAAGAATAAAGCTGCTGTATCCTTATCCTCTTGGACCAAAGTGGCAATCTCAAAAACCAAAATCTTTTACAAGCACTGTGACTTCATGAAAATGTTTCAATTTTTGGTTCTGAAAAAACTCTTCATATTTTTCTGGAGAAGTCCAGTTTACTTCTACTTCTAAAATCTATCATGTAATAAAAAATAATTGCAAGTAGCTCTTAAACATAAAGAACATAACCAAGGCACAATGAACTCTTCAGTTTGGTTTTCAGCAGCTTAAACAGTTGAACATCTGCAAAAATCAGCTAGCTGATAGCACACAGTTCCCCTCCAATCTAAGTCAGAATACTACAAACTGGGATAAGTCAGAATAGTACAATCTTGCACTTCCCAGCAATCTGTAGCATCAAACCAAGGTTAAAGCAGTCACAATTTATTCCACTCTAAAACTAACAAGATTTTTCAAAGAGCAAATAGAAGGCTTTAATCATAGATCACTCATCCCATGATAACATAACCCATATGCAATCATAACCCAACCTACACATCAGACACATCCATTCTAGGGGAACGATGGCATTTGCCACACAACAAAAGTAAGGAAAGCAGCATCCCTTCTCCTCACCTCCAGCTCTGCTCAGCACCAAACCATCCTTTCCCCCTTCACTCCTAATCCCACTGACAGGCCAGGACACACCAGATGAGTGCTCATCTCAAACCAACCTGTCTCATGGCCAGGAGATGCTGCTCCTGCTGCTGCAGGTTCCACTGACTCTGCTGGATGAGCTCCTCCACAGACGGGGTGCCCTGAGGGGCTGGGATGGGCGCGGCCGGCGGCAGCGAGGGCTGTGGCAGGGGCTGGATCTGTGCGGAAGCCTCGATATCTTGGCTTTGCTTGCACAACACTATCAGACAGAGTAAACTTTGAAAGTAAACCTCCCAGAGAAACCTGCTACCACCAGCCCACGGGTGAAAATGGCACCAGTTCCAAACAGACCCCCGCGCTGAGGGGGTGAGAGGGGTCTCCAGAGCTGCTCGGACAATGCTCTGACACCTGGTGGGATTCTTGGGGTGTCCTGTGCAGGGCCAGGAGTTGGACTCGATGATCCCGATGGGTCCCTTCCAACTCAGCACATTCTATGATTCTACGGTTAACGCAAAATCACAGGTGGCCGGTGCCAAAGAGGAGAGTCAGCAACTCCCTGTGCACTTCCAGAGGGACAACTCCAGGACAAGCCGAGTGAGTTCCGGCTCTCCGGGTGCCGAGCTCCGTCTCACCACGCTGCCCGTCCCTGCGGCTCCCCCTGCCCGCCTCCAAACCCACAACCGGGGCCGTGAGGAGCCGCGGGCAGCGCTGAGCCAACTACCGGGAACCCCGAGCGCTGCAAACCGGTCCCGGCGGAGCAGGACGAGCCCAGAAGAGACAAAAGTGTCTCCGCCGGCCGACCCCGAGACCCCGCGGCCGGCGAGGGAGGGAGCCCCGAGCCGGCCCTGCCCGAGCCGCAGGCCCCACTCACGCTGCTGCTGCTCCAGGGCCAGCTTGTACTTGTAGTAGCCGTAGAAGTCGCCCCCGAAGAGGAAGGAGAATTTGGGGTTCTCCTTCTGCTTCTCCATCGTCATCTTCTCGAACTCGGGCCCGTTCCGCGCCACAAACTGCGCCAGCTTGTCGATGACATTCCGCAGCTCCTGGTCTGTGGGGAAGCAGCGCCGTCACCCCCCGCTCTCCCCCCATTCCCGCGGTCGCCCCCCGTTCCCCCCGCAGCCCCCGATGGCCCCTCACCGTCGGGCGGCAGCGGCATCTCCATGGCCGCGGCTCCCCGGCCCGCTGGGCCGCGCCGCCCTGCCCGCCGAGCGGCTGCGACACCCGCGCGGCCGCGCTTTACGGCCCCGTCGCCGTGGAGACGGCGCGCGCGCCGGTGACGCGGGGTCGCATGGCGCGGTCGCAGCGGCGTCAGGAGAACATGGAGGAGCCGGGGCTGCGCTCGGGGCTCGACTCACTCGGGGCGCGACTCGCCCTCGCACCCCGCGCCCGGCCCTGGACACCGCAGCCCCTCCGGCCGCCTCCCCGAGCCCCCCAACTTCGCCGTGTTCAGCGGCCCCGGCGCCGAGGGGCTCTGGGGGGACGCGGGGGCCGCGCCCCGGGCTCGCAGCCGCTGCCTCAGCGGCTCCGCCCCACGAGAAGCATGTATTTTATGACTGGATTTTCGCAAATATTGAAATGAATATTATATGTGTTGTGTTAGAAAGGGATGCTGTATTAATTCTCTTAAGTGCTGTGTTAAATGTAGTTTTAGGTTATAAAAATTGTTAAAATAGAAACGATGCTATGTAAGATACTTTTCCTTAAAGGAAGGACTAACACCAGATAGCAGCCACAGGACACCTCAGTCTTTCCGAGAAAAAGAATTTATTGCCCCATTATCAGGAGAAATGAACTTCTTCCTGCTTCGAAGGCACTGTTGGGATTCTAAGGAAGAAGTTGACGATAAGCAAACAAAATCCTGTACTTGAATTGGATTTATGAATCACGTATGAAATGTATGAATATGCAACAGGTGTTGTTTTTAAGGGTTAATCCTCTGTTAACTGTGTCCTTTTTCGGTCTCCTGCTGCCCAGAAAAAGTTACCTGGACTGTCCATAACTCTTTGTATTTTTTGTCTCATATTGTCCTAATTCAGTTTGTCCAAATTGTTATTACTCTAATTGTGTTACTATTCTTTTTAACCATTCCATTACTATTAAACTTTTAAACATTTTAAAAACAAGTGATTGGCGTTTTTCACATTTCTCGACGCAAAATGAGACACTGAACCCTGAAAATTCGCCAGCATTAATCCCAAAATTAGAAAGCACACAAAAATCTTTTGATAATTTTCAACTAACAGACTGGGATGAAGTCAGAGGCCAGATTTGCAAAGAAGAAAGTCTAAATCCTTTAGCTGTGCCTGTGCCATTCAACCAGCAAGGCAGTGGTCCTAGAACATGGGTGGCTATTGTGAAAATTGCATTTATTTTATGATTGGCTTTTCGCAAATATTCAAATGAATATTATATGTGTTGTGTTAGAAAGTGACGCTGTATTAATTCTCCTAAGTGCGGTGTTAAATATAGTTTTAGGTTATAAAAATTGTTAAAATAGAAACGATGCTATGTAAGATACTTTTCCTTAAAGGAAGGACTAACACCAGATAGCAGCCACAGGACACCTCAATCTTTCCGAGAAAAAGAATTTATTGCCCCATTATCAGAAGAAATGAACTTCTTCCTGCTTTGAAGGCGCTGTTGGGATTCTGAGGAAGAAGTTGATGATGACCAGACAGAATTCTGTGTTTGAATGAAATTTATGCACCATGGATGAAGTGTGTGAATATGCAACATCCTTCCCTACAGATCCCCCTTGCTCCAGCAGAACCACACCTGATATTTCAGGAGGGCTGAGCCACAATTCCAATGGGACTGCCACCAGCACCCCACAGGGTGTCAGGTTGGGTTCTGACCCTGGCAGTGTTCTTCTAGTGTACTGCATTGTTTATTTTATCCTTTTATTGTTTTTTTCTTCCCTATTAAAGAACTGTTATTTCCCGCTCCCATATTTTTGCCTGAGAGCCCCCTAATTTAAAATTTACAGCAATTCGGAGGGGTGGGGAGGGTTCACATTCCCCATTTCAGGGGAGGCTCCTGCCTTCCTTAGCAGCCTCCTGTCCTTCCAAACCAAGACACACACATCTCTCCAGGGCAGGCCTTGTTTCCTAAATTCTCCTCACACCTGTCTGTGACACTTCCCCACCATTCCAGCAGTGTCACCTCAGGGACAGTGGCCATGTCCCCTCCCTGTGTCCCCTCCCTGTCCTTCCCCGTGTCCCTCCACTGTGTTTCCTCCCTCTCCCCCCAAGCACGGGCTCTGTTCACGGTCAGCAGCTCCTTTATTGGTGCCAGCACTGTGTCCCCACCCCGCTGTCCCCGTGTCCCCACCCTGCTGTCCCCGTGTCCCCACCCCGCTGTCCCCGTGTCCCCACCCCGCTGTCCCCTACACGTCGCTCTCGGTGACAGTGCCACCCCTGGGGGGGTCACACGGGGGTTTCTGCTCCCCTCCCGTCTCCAGCAGCGCTTGGGTCACCGTGGCCTTGTCCAGGGGCTCGTCCCCAACGCTGGTGTCACCCTTGAGGCCACCCGAGGGTGCAGCCCTGACGATGTCCCACCACAGCACACCCGGGGGACAGCGCGTTGATCCTGCCGGGAGGGGACACCGTGACAGGGAGGGGTGACAGGGAGTGACAGGAATGAGGTCACGGGGAAAGGTGACAGGGACAGGGTGGCAGGGATGGGTGACAGGGGGTGACAGGGACAGGGTGACCAGGAGGGGAGACAGGGGTGGATGACAGGGGTGACAGGAGGGTGACAAGGACAGGGTGACAGGGATGGGTGACAAGAAGGGGCAACAGGGATGGGTGACAGGGGAGTGACAGGGTGACATGGACAGAATGACAGAGAGTGACAGAAATGAGGTCACAGAGAAAGGTGTCAAGGACAGGGTGGCAGGGATGGGTGACAGGGAGGGGTGACAGGAGGGTGACAAGGAGGGGTGGCAGGGACAAGGTGACAGGGAGTGACAGGAATGAGGTCACAGGGACGGGTGACAGGAATGAGGTCACAGGGAAGGGTGACAGGGACAGGGTGTTGGGGGGTGACAGAGGGGGTGGCACAGGGGGTGACACAGGAGGTGACAGAGCCATCTCCCCACTCACCTGGCAGCAGGCTGAGCAGGGCCCCTGTCCCCACAGTCGCCAGTGTCCCCAAGGCGCCGTAGTACAGGTAGGAGATGGAGTAGAAGTCACCCAGGATGGCCGGGCTGTGACAGGGGACAGCAGGGACACACGGTGACGTCACAGGGAATGGGGACACCGTGTGATGTCACAGGGCGTGGGGACAGCGGGGTGTCACCGCCTCCAGGGACACCTGGTGACGTCACTGCCTACAGGAAGACCCGGTGATGTCACAGGGCATGGGGACAGGGTGATGACATCACAGCCAGCAGGGCCAGGGATGTCACATCACAGGGAACAGGGACAGGGATGTGACCTCACAGGGAATGGGGACAGAGCTGTGACATCACAACAAACAGGGACAGGCTGTGATATCATAAGGGACAGGGACATTGTTGTGATGTCACAGGGGCAGTGATGTGACATCACAGCCAGCAGGGCCAGGGATGTGATGTCACAAAAACTGGGACAGGCTGTGACATCATAAGGGACAGGGACATTGTTGTGATGTCACAACAAGCAGAGGTAGTGATGTGACACCAGAGCCAGCAGGGACAGAGATGTGATGTCACAGGAAAGAGGGACAGGGCTGTGATGTCACAAAAACAGGGACAGGCTGTGATATCATAAGGGACAGGGATGTGACATCACAGGGAACAGGGACAGGGATGGATGTGATGTCACAGGGAACGGGGACGGGGATGTGACATCACAGGGAATGGGGTCAGGGATGTGACATCACAGCCAGCAGGGCCAGGGATGTGATGCCACAAAAACCGGGACAGGCTGTGACATCATAAGGGACAGGGACATGGTGGTGATGTCACAACAAGCAGAGGCAGTGATGTGACATCAGAGCCAGCAGGGACAGGGGTGTGACCTCACAGGGAATGGGGACAGTGATGTGACATTAGAGCCAACAGGAAAAGGGATGTGACACCACAGCCAGCAGAGACAGGGCCAGGGCCGTGCCACCCCAGGGGACAGGGATGTGCCACCCCAGGGGACAGGAGCACGCCCGCGCTGTCCCCAGCCCCGCTCACCGCAGCGGCTCCGGGGGTGGCGCGGGCAGGGCAGGGCCGCTGGTGGCGCTGGTGACACTGGTGACGCTGGTGGCATTGGTGGCGCTGGTGGCGTTGGTGGCGTTGTGGGGCGGGCACAGCGTCCCCCAGGTGGGCAGCACCCCCATGGTGGCCGCGCTGGGCGGGTACAGGGTGGCACCCACGGCCACCCAGAGTGACAGTGCCAGGCCCACGGCCAGGCCCCCCAGCACCCCCTGTGCGACAGGGACAGGGACAGGGATGGGGACAGGGACAGGGATAGGGATGGGACAGGGACAGGGATGGGACAGGGACAGGGATAGGGATGGGGATGGGGCAGGGATAGGGACAGGGATAGGGATGGGGATGGGGACAGGGATGGGACAGGGATAGGGAGATAGAGACAGGACAGGGACAAGGATGGGGACAGGGACGGGGACAGGGATAGGATGGGGCAGGGACAGGGAATCAGCAGGGCCCAGGGGAGCTGCAGAGACCCCCCCAAAAATCCCAAATATCCCCATGGCTGCACTGAATGGCAGAACCCCCAAAATCCTCCAAGCCCCAAAATCCTCCCATTCCCAAAATCCCCCTCCCCAAACTCCCCAAATCCCCGATTCCCCAAACCACCCAAACACCCCAAACTCTGCCCCCAAAATCGCCAAACCCCAAATCCCCAAACCCCAAACTGCTGACCCCAAATCCTCAAACCCCCTAAACCCCAAATTCCCCAAAACCCCAAACCTCCAATCTCCAAGCCCCAGACTCTTTCCCGAAATCCCCCAAACTCCAAATCCCGCAAACCACAAACCTCAAATCCCAAACCGCTGATCCCAAACCCCAGACCCTCACACTAAACCCCCCAAACCCCAAATCCCAAAACCACAAATCTCCCAATCCCCAAACACCAAATCCCCGAACCCCAAACCACAAATCTCCCAAATCCCCCAATTCCCAAACCCCAAACCTCCCAAACTCCAAGCCCAAACCTCAAATCCCTCAAACCCCAGACCCTGAACTCCCCAAACTCCGACCCCCAAACCCCAAATCCCCCAAACCCCAAACCCAAACACCCCAAACCCCAAACCCTGACCCCGCACTCACTGCGGTCCCACAGCGGGGCAGGAACATCCCCAGCACGAAGGCGCCCAGCAGGGGCCCGCTGATCACCCCCATCACCGTGAAGGAGCCCTGGCGGTTTTGGGGTTTTTTGGGGTTTTTTTAGGGTCTGGGAGAGCTGCAGGAGAGGCCTGGCACTGCCCCAACCCCTTCACCCTCAAGGGCTCTCCAGGTGCCACCAGAGCGTGGCCGTGTCCTTGTGGTGTCCCCGCTGTGTCCCCACTCAGATGGGCACAGAGAGTGTGGGGGGTTTGGGGTTTTTGGGGTTTTTTGGGGTCTGGGAGAGCTCCAGGGGGGGCTGGCACTGCCCCAACCCCTTCACCCTCAAGGGCTCTCCAGGTGCCACCAGAGCGTGGCTGTGTCCCTGTGATGTCCCCACTGTGTCCCCGCTCGGATGGGCACAGAGAGCACGGGGGGGTTGTTGGGATTTGGGGGGTTTTGGGTTTTTTTGGGGTTTTTTTGGGGTCTGCAAGAGCTCTGGGGGGGGCTGGCACTGCCCCAACCCCTTCACCCTCGAGGGCTCTCCAGGTGTCACCAGAGCGTGGCCGTGTCCCCGCAGTGTCCCTGCGGTGTCACCGCTCGGATGGTCACTGACAGCGTGGGGGAGTTTGGGGGGGGTTCGGTTTTTTGGGGGGGTTTTGGGGCTTTTTTTGGGGTCTGCAAGAGCTCCAGGGGAGGCCTGGCACTGCCTCAATTCCCCCTCCTTGAAGGTTCTTGAGGTGGCACCACCAGAGCTGGGCCATGTCCCTGTGGTGTCCCTGCGATGTCCCTGTGGTGTCCCCGCTCAGATGGGCACAGACAGGGCAGGGGTTTGGGGGGGGTTAGGGGATGTTTTGGGGTTCTTTTGGGGTTTTTGGGGGTTTTTTTGAGGTCTGGGAGAGCTCCAGGAGGGCCTGGCACTGCCCCAACCCCTTCACCCTCGAGGGCTCTCCAGGTGCCACCAGAGCGTGGCCGTGTCCCCGCGGTGTCACCGCTCGGATGGTCACTGACAGCACGGGAGGGTTTTGGGGGGTTTTGGGGTTTTTTTTTTGGTTTTTTGGGGATTTTTAGGGACAGTAGAAGGGGATTTGGGGTCTCGGGGGGCTCTCACCTGCAGGACACCCCCCCCCAGCAGTGAGGACAGAGCGGCCACGGTGATGCAGGAGGTGCCAAAGGTGAGAGCTGTGGGAATATGGGATGGGATGGGATGGGATTTATAGGATGGATGGGATTGGGATGGGGATGGGATTGATGGGATGGATGGGATTTATGGGATTTATGGGATGCAATGGATGGGATTGATGGGAGGAGATTGGGATTTATGGGATTTATGGGATGGGATTGATGGGGTGGGACGGGATCTATGGAATGGGATTGACGGGATTGATGGGATTGATGGGATTGGGATGGGATGGATGGGTTTGATGGGATGAGATTGGGATTTATGGGATGGGTTAGGGTTGGGATTTGAGATGGATTGATGGGATGGGATTGATGGGGTGGGACAGGATCTATGGGATGGGATTGATGGGATTGATGGGATTGGGATTTGGGATGGATTGATGGGATGGGATTGATAGGGTGAGATAGGATCTATGGGATGGGATTGATGAGATTGGGATGAGATTGATGGGATGGGATTGGGATTGATGGGATTTATGGGATGGGTTAGGGTTGGGATTGGGATGAGATTCACGGGATGGGATTGATGGGTGGGACGGGATCTGTGGGATGGGATTGATGGCATTGGGATTGGGATGGATGGGATTGATGGGATGGGATTGGGATTTATGGTATGGGGTTGGGTTGGGATTGATGGGATGGGATTGAGATGGGATCCATAGGGTGGAATGGGACAGCACAGCCTGGCACACCCCAGGCAGGGGTGACCCTGGTGGGTGTCCCATCCCCTCAGGGTGTCCCATCCCTGTCCCCAGGCCGGTGGCACTCACAGAGCCCCTTGGAGATCAGCGTCAGCTTCCTTGGGGACAGCGCCGGCAGCCGCGGCCGCACCAGGTCCTCCACAGTGACAGCAGCCATGGCGTTGATGGACGTGGAGGCCGTGCTGGGCGTGAGGTGGCCCCGTCAGCCCCGTGGGGACACCGGGGTGGTGGCACCGCCCGCCCCTGTCCCCGGGCTGGGACCCCTCCTCACCTGAGCGTGCCGCTGTAGGCGCAGGCCAGGAACAGCCCCGGCACCCCCGGCGTGCTCCCGAAGATGTCCAGGACCAGGTAGGGCATGTACTGAGGGACAGGGGTGAGGAGAGGGGCCAGGGGGGCCCCAAAACCCCCTGGGAGCCCCCAGACTCCCACCCCACTGCCTTGGGGGGTGTTGGACACCTGGGAGACCCCAAAACCCCCTGGCAGCCCCCCAAACTCCCACCCCAATGCCTCAGGGGGTGCTGGAGAGATGAGGATTCTGGAGGACCCCAAAACCCCTTCTGACCCCACTGCTTGAGGGGTTCTAAAAGGGGCAGAACCCCAGGAGACCCCAAAACCCCCTCTGACCCCACTACCTTGAGGGGGGTCCTGGAGAGGATCTGGATACGAAGGGACCCCTGTGCCCCTGAGGGGTCCTGGAAGGGGCAGGACCCCAGGGGACCCCAAAACCCCCTCTGACCCCATTGCTTGAGGGGTCCTGGAAGGGACACGATCCTGTGGGACCCCCTGTGATGCCGGGGGGGTCCCGGGGGGTCGGTACCTGGTCGGGGGCGGCGATGGCCCCGGCCAGCAGAGGGTCACAGTGGCCGTAGAGCGCGAACATGACGAGCCCGCAGGCCACGGCGCTGAACACGATGAAGAAGAGCCCGACCTGATTGACCAGCAGCGCCCTGCGAGGGCACGGGGGGCATGAGTGGCATAGGGGGCACAGAGGGCACGGGGGGCACGGGGGGCATGAGGGGCATGAGGGGCACAGGGGGAATGGGGGGCATGGGGAACACGGGAGGAACAGGGGGTACAGCGGACATGGAGGGAATGGGGACACCCGGGGCATGGGGGGCACGGGGGGCACAGGGAACATGGAGGGCACAGGGGGCACGGGGGATATGGGGGGCACGAGGGGCACAGGGGGCATGACAGTCATGGGGGGCATGGGGGGCACGGGAACACGGGGGGCACCGTGGGCACGTGGGGCATGGAGAACATGGAGGGCACGAGGAACATGGGGGGAACAGGGGGCACAGGGGGCATGTGGGTCATAGGGGGCACGGGGGGCATGGCAGGCAGAGGGGGCACGGGGAACACGGGGGGCATGCAGGTCATGAGGGGCACAGGGGTTCAGGGTCCTGCCAGGGCAGCTGGAGAGGTGCCAGGTCCTGGCAGGGCAGGAGGGGCCGGGCAGGGGGTTGGGGTCCTGGCAGGGGTGTCAGGGGAATTCGGGGTCCTCAAAGGGGTGCAAGGTCCTGGCAGGAGAATTCGGGGTCCATAATGGGGTGCAAGGTCCTGGCGCAGGAATTCGGGGTTCTTAAAGGGGTGCGAGGTCCTGGCAGGGGTTTTAGGTGAATTTAAGGTCCATGAAGGAGTGCGAGGTCCTGGCAGGGGTGTCAGGGGAATTCAAGGTCCATGTAAGGTCCTGGAAGGGGCTGTGCCAGGTCCTTGCAGGGCGCTTTACCCACACAATGACCAAACCGCCCCTCCCAGAGCATCCCTTTCCCTCTGCGACTTCCAGCACGGGATCCGGAGAGTTCTGGGCTTCCCGGGGATCCCGGGGGGGTCCGGACTCACATCTTGGCCTCCCTCTCGCTCCTGCAGGCCACGTAGCGCTGCACCTGCGCCTGGTTGACGCCGTACATGGAGAGCCAGAGCAGCGTCCCGCCCAGCACGAAGGTCCACACGGTGTAGCGGCTCCGCGGGTCCGGGCTGAAACTGGGCACGGCCAGGGGGGCACGGCATGGCACGGAGCCCGGGAGGGCGGGCAGGGGATGGGGGTGACCCCACAGATCACGGGGAGGGGTGAGAGGGGCTGGGGGTGACCCCAGAAGTCAGGGAAGGAGGTGAGGGGCTGGGGGTGACCCCACAGATCATGGGGTTGGGGGTGAGGGGGACTGGGGGTGACCCCAAAACCCAGGGGAAGGGGTGAGAGGGGTTGTGAGTGATCCCAGAATTTAGGGCAGGAGGGAGAGGGGCTGGGAGTGACCCCAGAACCCGGAGTGAGGTGAGAAGGGCTGGGAGTGACCCCAGAACCCAGAACAGGGGGATGGGAGCTGGGAGTGACCCCAGAACTGAGCACAGGGGTGAGAAGGGACTGGGAGAGACCACAGAACGCAGGGAAGGGGGTGAAGGGCTGGGGGTGACCCCACAGATCCTGGGGTTGGGGGTGAGAGGGGCTGGGAGTGACCCCAGAACTCAGAGAAAGGAGATGGGAGCTGGGAGTGACCCCAGAACTCAGGGAAGGGGGTGAAGGGCTGGGGGTGACCCCACATAACCCGGGGAGGGGGGGTGAGAGGGGTTAGGAGTGACCCCAGAACTCAGTACAGAGGGATGGGAGCTGGGAGTGACCCCAGAATCCAGAACAGGGGACGAAGGGGGCCGTGAGTGACTCCACAGACCCCAGGGCAGGGATAGGGGGGTCCCGCGGGGTTCGGGGGGTTTGGGGGGTTCGGGGGCACCCACTCGGCGAAGTTGAGCCTGGAGCCGTTGCTGGCGATGCTCAGCACCTCGGCGGGACCCCCGACCAGCAGCGCCCCCCGGATGGCGATGGCGACAAAGCCCGCGAGCATCACGAACACCTGGAACACGTCGGTCCAGATGACAGCCTTCATCCCGCCCTGCGGCACAGCGAGCGGGGCTGAGCGCCCGGACAGACAGGGACAGACACAGGGACAGACACAGGGACAGACAGGGACAGACACAGGGACAGACACAGGGACAGACACAGGGACAGACAGGGACAGACAGGGACAGCCAGGGACAGACACAGGGACAGACACAGGGACAGACACAGGGACAGACAGGGACAGACAGGGACAGCCAGGGACAGACACAGGGACAGCCAGGGACAGACACAGGGACAGACAGGGACAGACAGGGACAGCCAGGGACAGACACAGGGACAGACACAGGGACAGACACAGGGACAGACAGGGACAGACAGGGACAGCCAGGGACAGACACAGGGACAGCCAGGGACAGACACAGGGACAGACACAGGGACAGACAGGGACAGACAGGGACAGACAGGGACAGACACAGGGACAGCCAGGGACAGACACAGGGACAGACAGGGACAGACAGGGACAGCCAGGGACAGACACAGGGACAGACAGGGACAGGCAGGGACAGCCACAGGGACAGCCACAGGGACAGACACAGGGACACACAGGGACAGACACAGGGACAGACACAGGGACAGCCAGGGACAGCCAGGGACAGACACAGGGACAGCCAGGGACAGACAGGGACACCCTGGGACAGACAGGGACACCCTGGGACCCCTCGGGACACCCCCGGGACAGACAGGGACAGCCAGGGACAACCAGGGACACCTCGGGACATCACCTAGGACAGCCAGGAACACCTCGGGATACCTCGAGACAACCCCAGAACTCTCTAGGAACACCTCAATACACCCACAGGATACCCTGGGACACCCCCAGGACACCTTGGGACACCCCCAAGACCCCCCAGGACACCACGAGACACCCACAGGATACCCTGGGACACCCCCAGGACATCTCGGGAACCCCCCCAGCACACCTCGGGACACCCCCAGGACACCCCCGGGACACCCCATAGAACACTTCGGGACCCCTCAGGACACCCAAGACGCCCCGAGGACACCCTGGGACCCCCCAGGACTCCCCCAGCCCCCCCTTCTCACGATGGTGGTGTAGAAGGTGCAGATGGCCCCCGTGGACAGCAGCGATGCCCAAATGTCCAGCCCGGTCACTGAGGGAAGAGGGGACAGCGCTGAGGGTGGGAATTGTCACCTGGGGAGGGGACACAGGGACGAGGAGAGCCCCCCCCCCGAGCCACAGCACACCTTGGTTCAGGATCAGGGCGGGCGCGTAGATGACGATCCCGGTGTAGAGCATCTGCGGGAAGAGGGGGGTCAGGGTCCCGAGGGGGGCTCAGGGTCTCGAGAGGGGCTCAGGGACACGAGTGGGGCTCAGGGACACGAGGGGGGCTCAGGGACACGAGAGGGGCTCAGTACTCCAAGGGGGGGCTCAGTGCCCCAAGGGTGCTCAGGATTCCAAGGGGGGCTCAGGGTCCTGAGGGGGGCTCAGTGCTCCAAGGAGGGGCTCAGTGCCCCAAGGGGGGGCTCAGGGTCCCAAAAGGGGCTCAGGGGGGGCTCAGTGCCCCAAGGGGGTCTCGGGATCCCAAAGGGGGCGCAGGATTCCGAGGGGGGTTCAGGGTCCCGAGGGGGTCTCAGTGTCCCCAAGGAGGGGGCTCAGGATCCCAAGGGAGGGGCTCAGTGTCCCCTCGCAGGTGACACGGTTTTCTCTCGGCTCCGTTTTCTCTCCAAACAGCGCTCCCGCCGCGCCGCTCTCGCTCCGAGCCAGCGCAAACACCAGCGCGGGGCCGAGGGCGCTCCCCAGGGGCTCGGGGCACCGCCAGCGCTGTCCCCGCGCTGTCCCCAAGGCCAGCACCGCACACGCACCGTGGCCACCACGTACTGCACGGTCCCGCACAGCCGCACGCTCCGGCTGAAGCGCCGCTCCAGGTACTGCGACAAGGACAAGGACAAAGAGCACGTCGGGGCCACCCCGGAGTGAGCCCTGAACGGGGGCTGGGGGGGCTCGAGGGACCCCAAAACCCCGGGCAGGGCGAGCGGGGCTGGGGGGACCCCCAAAACCCCGGCAGGGCGAGTGCGGTCCCGCCGGGTTGGGGGACCCCCAGAACCCCAAGGCAAGGGGGGAGAGGGGCAGGGAGAGACCCCCAAGCACCCCAAGGCAGAGGGAGCGGGGTCCTATGGGGCTGCGAAGGGACACCCCGGGACACCCCCAGGACAGCCAGGGGCACCCCAGAACACCTTGGGACACCTCGGGACCCCCAGGACACACCCCGGGACACCTCCTGGTACACCTTGGGACATCTCAGGACCCCCCGGAACGCCCACCGAGACATCCCCAGGACAGCCAAGGACACCTTGGGACACCTCGGGACACCCCCAGGGACACCCCAGAACACGTCGGGACCCCCGGGACACCTCGGGACACCACCCGGGACCCCTCGGGACACATCAGGAGCGGGGTCCGCATCCCTCGGGGGGGGTCTCATCCGCCGAGTGGAGCCCGGACCCGTTGGCAGCGATGCTCGGCACCTCGACGGGACCCCCCCAAGCCGTGTCCCCGCCGTGTCCCCACCTCGTAGGTGCTGGTGAGCCCCAGGCGGTAGAAGACGGGCAGGAAGAGCTGCGCGGTGAGCGCGCTGTTGATGAGCTGCGCCAGGCACATCCAGAGGAATTTGGCTCCGTAGCGGAACGCCTCGGCCGGCACCCCCAGCACCTGGATGGCCGACATGAAGCTGGCCGACAGCGAGAGCCCCACGGGCAGCGCCGACATCCTCCGGCCACCCGTGAAAAAATCCTCCGAGGTTTTCTGGCCGCCCTTGGCCAGCCCGTGGAAGAGCCCGATGGCCGTGGAGATCAGCAGCATCAGCGCGAACACCCCGTAATCCCACGGGCTGAAGGTGAGCTCCCGCACGTCCTGGGGGCCCTGCATGCTGGCTTTAGGGTGTGGGGGACCCCAAATGGGGCGGCTGAGGGAGCGGGGTTAGGCCGGGGCTCGGCGGCAGGGGCGCATCCGAGGAGGGGGAGACTGGAGGCAGAGAGAATTCCTTGGAATGGGAGCGCCCAGCGGAAAGCAGGAGCGGGGAGCGGGATTTTGTGCCGCACCCCGTGCCCTCTGTGCCCTTCCCAGGCGGGGGTTGTGCCAAGGGGTGCCAAAGGGCAGAGTCCCAGAAGGAACAGGCAGAATTTGTCCTGGGAATTGCCCCCGATCTCTCCCCGGTTCGGCTGCTCCGGCCACCGGCTCCGAAGGGACACGGCCGGGAGGGAGCGAGGAGAGAGACAGAGGGGGAGAGACCCCTCCCCAAAGCAGCACAAACAAGGAGGGGCAGAGCCTCCGGCGGAGCCAAATTTATCTCCAGCCGAGGGGAAAAAACAACAAACCCGAAGGAAACCTTTACCCCAGAAGGAACAGGTTGTTGTTTGCCGGCCGAGCGGGACGGACCGGCCGCACCGAGCCCGAGGAGCCCAGCGGGGGCTGCTCCCCGGGGTGGGGTCCCTGCCGTGTCCCCGGAGGTGTCGAGGGCCCGGCCGTGCCTCGAGCAGCTCCGGGCGGTGGGAGGCACGTTCAGCAGGTCGGGGAGGGAGCCGCGGCGGGGAGGATGGAGCTGTCGGCCATAAATAAATAACCCCTTCCCTCCCGTGCGGCCGCGGTGCCGGTGCGGAGCTCCGAGCCCCGCGGAGCCCCGGCGGTGAGCGGCGGTGGCGGGGCAGGACGGTGGCTCCCGGAGGGATACGTGGCACCGGGCGTGGGGCTGGCCCCGCTTCCTCATTCCCTGCCACCAACGCCACCTTGTCCCGCCCGGGCTCGGACAGGTTTGGGGATTTCCACGCTCTTGACCCAAAGCTCGCAGGTGAGGTTGGGGTTGGGGCAGGGGAGCAGCGCTGAGGTGGGGACAGAGGGGGCAGTGATTTGTCACCGCCCCCTCCGAGGTGTCACCGAGGGGGAAGGGTCCACTCCAGGGTGTCACCGCGGGGGCACTGTCCCCTCCAAGGTGTAGCCACGGAGGAACCGTCCCCTGTGAAGTGTCGCTGCAAGGTCACTGTCCCCTACACAGCATCACCACGAGGTCACTGTCCCCTCCAGGTCATCACCGTGGAGGCACCGTCCTCTCCAGGCCATCACCACGAGGTCACTGTCCCCTCCAGGTCACCAGCATGAAGGCACCGTCCCCTCCAGGATGTCACCGCGCAGGCATTGTCCCCTCCCAGGTGTCACCACGAAGGCTCCGTCCCCTCTGACCCATCACCGCCATGTCCCCGTCCCCTCCCCGGTGCCACCCTCTGAGTCCTCCCCGCCGGGCACACGAGGGTCCCTGTCCCTTCCTCCAGCCCGGGTGGTGGCACTGTCCCCACCACATGTCCCCGGAGGGGGGGGGGACAGGGCAGGGCAGGGCAGGGCAGGACCCCTTCCCCTCCCCGCCGCGGCGCCTCCTCCTCGCCGAGCGGGCTTGGAGCAGCTCCAGGGGAAAAAACAACGAGTTTGGGCCACATCCGCCGGGCGGGGACGTGCGACACCGCACGGGTCCGGGGCTGGCACACGCCCAGCCCCGCGGTGGCACCAGAGGCAGGACCGGGGCACTGGGAGTGGCAGCAATGAGGGGCTGGCAGCGCCCTGGCTGAGCTGCCCTGGCAGAGCATCCCCCGTGCCTGTGGTACCCACGGTGCCAGCACCGGGGGGTGCCCAGAGTGTGCTCGGGGGTGCCCAAAGGGGTGGCCGGGGCTGCCCAGAGGATGCCCGGGGTGCCCAGATTGTCCCTGGGGGTGCCCAGAGGGTCCCCGAGAGTGCTCAAAGGGTCCCCGGGGGTGTCCAGATTGTCCCTGGGGGTGCCCAAAAGGATGGCCGGGGGTGCCCAGAGGATGCTCGAGGGTGCTCAGAGGGGCACCGGGGGTACCCAGAGGGTCTCCGGAGGTGACCAGAGTGTCCCCGAGAGTGCCCAGATTGTCCCCAGGGGTGCCCAGATTGTCCCCAGGGGTGCCCAGAGGGTTTCCGGGGGTGCCCAGATTGTCCCCGAGAGTGCCCAGACTGTCCCCAGCTTTGCCCAAAGGGGTGCCCTGAGGTGCCCAGAGAGTCCTGGGGGTGCCCAGAGTGTGCCCAGGTTTTCAGCCCTCCACCCTCCCGACACCCCCTGGCTGCGCCCCGGGGTGTCGCGTTCTGTCCCCCCTCCCCTGGCAGGAAGCCGCCCGCCCAGGAGGCCTCGGGCAGGAAGGAAGTCGCCCGGGGGATTTTTTATCTCCCCTTCGCTCGCAGCCACCTACGCACCCCCAGAACCCCGATTTGGCAGCGCAGCCCGTCCGGGACCCCCGCCCCAGGCCCGGGGAGGTACCGGGGGGGGGGAGCCGGGGGGGCGGCCAGGCCGGGATGGAACCGGGATGGGGCAGGGATGGGGCCGGGATGGGGCCGGGATGGAACAGAGATGGGGCCAGGATGGAGCCGGGATGGAGCCGGGGATGGGGCCGGGATGGAACCGGGGATGGAACCGGGGATAGAGCCGGGGATGGGTGCGGGATGGAACTGGGGATGGAGCTGGGATGGAACCGGGGATGGAGCCGGGACGGAGCTAGGATGGAACCGGGGATGGAGCCGGGACGGAACCGGGGATGGGGACGGGATGGAACTGGGAATGGAATGGGGATGGAGCCGGGATAGAACCGGGGTTGGAACCGGGGATGGAGCCGGGTCCCCCCCGCTCACACCGAGAGCGCTGAGGCAGAGGAGGAGCGGCCAGGAGGGTGGGACAGGCTGGGAGAGTGGGAGAATATCCAACCGCGTGCCTCAGTTTCCCCTCCCTCCTTCCCAGCAGCGGCCCATCTCAGCTCTGCGGGTGCTGCTGAGAGGTTTTGATAGTGGAGCCCTGGAAAAAGTTAAAGATAGAATCTAAAATTCTAAAATTAAGCTTTGTGTTTTCCCAGATCAACTGCACCTGCGTAAGCAGTATGATAAATTATATAATTGTTAGATGTGATGATTGTTTAGTAATTAAATATAATTACTATATAAACATAAGAAGAATAATGAGAAACCATGTTGGAAATTCAGAGGGGGGCTAAATCTATGTATACAATAGAACAATATAAGTTTAATAATTAACATGAAAGCTATATAACAATAGAGTATAAAAACATGATCATTTCGGATGTATGGTCCGAGTCAGATTTGGGTTGAATATACCCCTGGCACCCAGAGCTCTTAAATAAAAAGCACCGCATACAATCCCTCCGTGATTATTTATTTTTGAACGCTGACACTTTGACTGTGGGGAGGATGATGAGGGTGGGACAAAGGGGTGACCCCGAGTCTCCCTTTCCTTGCAGCGCCCGCCATGGCCCCGCTGGGCGAGGAGACGCCGCTGATCGGGGGCCGCTCCTGCAGCCTCTCGTCGGCCGAGAGCGGCACCCTGCAGGTGTTCCTGTACCACCGGGCCCCCGGCCCGCACCGCGCCCCAGGCAGCGCCGCGGGCACGCTCAGCTTCACCTTCGGCGAGTACACGGCCGAGGAGCTCTGCGTGCGCGCTGCCAAAGCCTGCGGTGAGCGACGGGGGCACCTGACAGGGTGGGGGGTCTGGGGTGTGGGAATGGGGTCATGGGTGTGGAAATGGGGTTCTGTTTGGGGGTATGGGGTCCTGGGTGTGGGTACAGGGTCCTGGGTTTGGGGATGGGGTCCTGGATGTGCGGATGGGGTTCTGTTTGTGGGAATGGGGTCGTGGATGGGGGAATGGGGTCTGGGGCGTGGGTACGGGGTCCTGGATGGGGGAATGGGGTCCTGAATGAGAGAATGGGGTCCTGGATGGGAGAATGGAATTCTGTTTGTGGGTATGAGGTCCTGGGTTTGGGGATGGGGTCCTGGATGGGGGAATAGGGCCCTGAATGGTAGAATGGGGTCCTGGATGTGGAAATGGGGTTCTGTTTGTGGGTACGGGGTCCAGGATGTGGATACAGGGTCCTGGATGTGGAAATGGGGTTCTGTTTATGGGTACGGGGTCCTGGATTTGGATATGGGTCCTGGATGAGGGAATAGGGTCCTGGGTGCGGGTACAGGGCCCTAGAAGTGGAAATGGCGTCCTGCATGGGGGAATGGGGTTCTGAATGGGAGAATGGGGTCCTGGGTGTGGGTATGGGGTCCTGGATGGGAGAATTGGGTCCTGGATGGGAGAATGGGGTCCTGGATGGGAGAATGGGGTCCTGGATGTGGAAATGGAGTTCTGTTTGTGGGCACAGGGCCCTGGATGTGGAAATGGGGGTTTGGATGTGGGTACAGGGTCCTGGGTGTGGGGATGGGGTCCTAGGTGTAGAAATGGCATCCTGGATGGTGGAATGGGGCCCTGGGTGTGATTACAGGGTCCTGGATGGGAGAATGGGGTCCTGGATGTGGGTACGGGGTCCTGGGTGTGGAAATGGGTTCCTGTACTCATCCTCAGCAGGGAATTCTGGCTGTGAACTCCAGATCCCAGCTGTGGGGTTTGGGTCCTGCCTGTGGGGTTTGGGACCTGGCTGTGGCCTCAGGATCCCGGTGATGGGCTCAGCGTCCCCAGCACATCCTTGCCAGGGGATCCTGGCTGTGGCTGTGGGGTCTCAGCCCCGAGCTGAGCCCCTGGCCATGGGCTCAGGTCCCAGCCCCGTGTCTGTCCCCAGGCGTGCTGCCCGTGTGCCACCCCCTCTTTGCCCTGGCCACCGAGGACCTGAGCTGCTGGTTCCCCCCCAACCACGTGTTCACCGTGGACGAGTCCTGCAGCCAGGTGGTGGTGTACAGGATCAGGTGAGGCTCCCACCCTTCCCTGACATCCCTGGGGTCCTGCTCTCTGGGGGACACAGCGCTGAGACCCCTCCTCTGTCCCCACCAGGTTCTTCTTCCCCAACTGGTGCGGACTGGGACAGTCCCACCGCTTCCAGCTGCTCAACGGCCGGGCCAGCCCCGTCCTGGATTATCCTGTCATC